CAATATCCTCCAAGTCAAAACATGGAGGAGGCAGGGCTCTGCTCCCAAGCTTCCCAGCCAGAAATGTGAACACGGTCAAGGATCAAAATTTTAAAAGGCCTAGCAATAGCAGGCTAGTTGTACACAAAGGAGTTGTGTCCAAGCCCTTCTTGAGGAAACCTGAAACATCTATAACTAGTTGAAGAGTGCAAACACTCAGGTGAAGAAAACAAAAAGCCTTTTGAAGAAGACGACAAAACATTAAATGCATTAAATACAAAAGAGCATAGAATGCACTTGATTACAGAAGACACTCCACGTAAAAAAAAAATTCTGATTCTTTTGACTTAAAACAAACCACTAGCGAAAACTCCATTTTGATAAACTTCCAACTCTTTTTTAAAGCTCAGGTAACAACTATTTAAGTCATAGTCCAAAAAATTCATAATGCTTCAAAAGAATTCATCCAGATTTTGTTTTGGTGCCCGGGATCGAACCTGGGTCCTTGTGCTTATGAGGCAGGCGGCAGAACCACTGAACTAAATCCCCAGCCCATTGACCCAGATTTTTAGATTTGGTCTAAGGGGAAAGTGCCTTGTTCTTGAGAACCTACTAAGAGATGGTGCTAGTAGTCTAGATTTCTGGCTTTCATGATTCTATGAAAGATTTTTGTACTTGCTATTTGATAGAGGACATGAAAAGCTATCCCAAACCCAAAGCCATAGTAAAGCCCCCAGTCCTCCTCTGTTTAGAAGCAATCCTAAATATATTAGTCCTTTAGCATAGAGTTAAGTTCATACTATAAAATTCAGCTGTCAAAAAATTTGAAATGGCAGCAAAATAACAGTTAATTTTTAGCAATCAAGAGAAAGAAAGAAAGGAAGAAAGAAAGGAAGAAAGAAAGGAAGAAAGAAAAGGAAGGAAGAGTGACATTATTAGCATTGGTAAGCTTAATAACACAGGAGCAGTGTATCTTCCATGGATAAAGCACAAGAACACTTACAATTAAGAGATCTTAGTAAGGGTTTTAATTCTGCCCTGATCAAGACAGGCCTTCCAAGTTGTCTTTAATAATGGCTCACAAATCCACAGCAGCATTTACAAATGTCAGAGTGTACTTTAGATACATGGCAACTGGATAAGCCAGAAGGTTCCCCAACAGCGGCTGACTGAAAAGCAGTGGTTCTTGAAGTGTTCCTCGTGCCTCTTCCCTACCAGTTGCACGTGCCATACCAGGAACTTGCTAGGCAAGCAAACCCTCCCATCTACTGAAGCAGAAACTCTGGGTGGGGGCCCAGAAACCTTTGTACACCAGCCCCCAGGAGATTCTGACTTAAGGACACTGCTGTAGAAGATACTACAGAAGTTTTGAGCATGAGAACAAGCACAAAATGTCTAATTAAATGTGTATAAGTCAGTGTTGGTTAACCCGATGCCCGTCCTTTTAAGTGGGCAGCACAGACTAGGACCTTGTTCAAAACACACTTTGAAAAGGTCCTTGGAGACAGGTCCAGTGGAAAAGCCATCTCTTTTTTTTGTTGTTGTTACCATAGTAACACAAAGCATCATTTATTCATTAAAAAAAGAGCCCCCTTTGCAAGGGACATTATTTACAGAAAGAACACTTGATCCTGGGGAAACAAAATTTTGGAAAAGCAAATAGGGGAAACTCAGCCTTAAAGGCTTCCATATAGTACACCTCTACAGCCCACTTCTGGGTGAATACTCCCTAATTATGACTGCCCATTATGGAAAACATGAGTCCTAGGCAAACCTCCGTCTACTCTGAAAGATGACATTTCCAAGGAATGGAAAAATCACACATTTTGCTTCAGTCCCTACTGATCCCTCAGTCCCCAAAGGAAGGTGACCTACTCTACCTCTATCCATCCTTCACATCTAATGACATCCTTCTTTCAGGTCCACATTCAGGCCTTACTTGTGGGAACTTGACAAGAATAATGTTTCTTATAAAACCCTTTCTGTATCATAAATTTCATTTTTGTGTGTAGCTGTTATTTTTATGGTTTATACATAGCTTCCATGTTTACCAACTCATTTGATTTTCTAACAACCTGTAAGGTGGGTACAGTTTTATTATTCCCAATTACAGATGAAAAACTGGAACTTAGTGCTAACTTCAACAAACAATTGATCATTGAGTTTTAAAGAAGAGATATAAATGCTTTGCATAAAAAATTAAAGAACTCATGACATCCATATCCAAGAGAACTCCTAAACTCAACTGAGTTTGTCATTTGCCAAATGATATTCACCAGAAGTCACTCAGGTAGATTTTTTGGTTGAGTGGTATTTTTTTGGCTTAGGAAGGTTGAGGAGCAGGAAGGTGAAAAATATTAAAATGGACAACTTCTCCCAGTCACTGAATTCACCTAACCAGCAGTGGGTCTGGAATTCTACAGGGCTTCGAGTAACAATAGCAATGATGATGCCATTAAGGTTAAGCCTTTACTATATTCCAGGCACCATTCTACATATATTAAATATATTCAATAACCTTACTATCATCATTTTAAGATGAAAAAGAAAAAACAAGACATTGAAAAGCTAAGTAATTTGCCCAAGACTACACCTCTTGTTCCCTGGACACAGAGGAAGAGGTAAAATCCGAGTGCCAAGCCCCTGTGAGGTCTGCCTACTAGTGATGGAAACCAGGCATGGGATGGTAGCAGCCACCACAGGAGTCTGGGTTATGTTTCTAATGTTGCCATTTGGGCAACAATCTCCACACTCTGTCACTCAAAGCATTAATCAGCACTCAGATTCCAAGTAATTAAGCAGCAACTCAGACTCCTAATGGCCAATTCCCTCTCAGACTATCCCCAGGAAGGTCTCCTAGATCTAAGTGATGAAAGACTGGCAGGTTTGCCTGGAACTGCCTTCAACTAATTTAAGAAAAATTAGAGAGGAAAGCAGCTTTGGAGGAAACATGGCAAATTAAAGATGCATGTGGAAGACAGCAGTTCTAGTAAACGCACAGAACTAACAGCTCTGATGCCTCTTTTAAAGAAATATAAATAAAAAGGAGTCCTTACTGGTGTAAATTACTCCTGCCTTTTAAAAAAAATAGAAATTTTCAAAACAACAAAAAAATAGACATTTTCAACTGTTCATATTTTTGGGACTGTACATGCCAGCTTTTACATATTGATCAATCTTTTATGTTTGTACATCTTTTTCTTAAGAAACAAAGATCAAGCTGAAGAGAACACTCAGGCAAAAAAGGAAAATTTCATGATGAATGGATTCAGTCTTGATGAGTGAGTATGCTATGATGGAGGTTGGGGAATACAACTTTCAAAGACTTCCTTAAATTTGGTTGCTTGTCTCTAATTTTCTGTCTCTAATTTTCACGGAAAAACATCATGAGATCCAGAGGTTCGATGGAAACCCAACTTAACAGCAAGTTCCATAGTATTCTACATATTAAAGCAAAGGCCTAAACCTGAGACAGGACTATACCAACCACAGGTTATCCACATTTCTTCCATTCACTGATAATCCTGGTCCACCTACCCACTGTGGGCCCTGTAAGCTTTACTTCCCCTTCTACAAAATGCAAAGGATAACCCTTCTTTATCAGGTGGATATAAAAACTTAATGAGTTAATAAAGACGTCTGTCTGACAGAGTGAGTGCTCACATAGTGTTAAATATTGCTATTACTATTATTTGGAAAAATTAGGTCAGGAAATGGTATCCAGGAGTCTTTCGCTGTATCTGTAATGTTTCATTGTTTCTTAAATTTTTTGAAATGAAAACAACAGTCACCACACACACACACCAGTTCTTAATAGGAAGAGAGAAAACTGCCCATAATCATTTCTCCTGCTGGTGAGTTTCAGGCAAGGGTGTAGCTACGAGCATCTCCTTCCTCCATTGCCCTACATTTCCCCTAGAAGATGCCTCCTCTCCTGCTGAGGTTCTTAATCAGCGTGGCAAGGGCCGGATTGCAGGCAGGTCCTTGAACCGGGTGCAACTGTACACGGAACTGGGTGAGGCTGCAGCACTAGGCATTTGGGGGGCGGGGAGGGATTCTAAAGCGTTCCTGAAACTCTAACGACCCTGTAGCGAGCAACGCAACTTGCTTTACAGTGTTAAACTCGGGGGAAAAGGCCGGAATAATTCACTTCATTGAAGGCTGCAGCAGTAACCGGGACCCATGGGCTGGCTGTTAATCAGCCCTCTCCAGAGAGAGCCGGTATCACTAGGGGCACGAGCCGGCCAGGCAGCGCGTGGCATTGCGCCCCTGACCTCTTACAGAAAGACCTGTAAACTTCACCTGCTACCCAGACCTGACCCCGGTACTGCAGGGGTTTAACCTCCCCTCCCCCAACCCCTGTTCATTTCCAAGAACAAACTCAAAGGAAACTCCAACGCTCTGTCTAGGATTTCACTCCTGCCCTTAGCTGACACTGAAACCACTTCTCCCAGGGAAGTTAATTAAAAGAACAATTAATCCGCACAAAAATCCAAAACCTACCCCAAAGCTCATGCGCTCTTAAAGTTAGAAGACTGAAGGCGCTTGGGCGTATCCTGAACTTCTATTCGTCTGGGGCTCAGGGGTAGGGGAGAAGCAGGCAAGGGGCAGCCAGGGAGTCTGACCTCGGCCACCGCTCCAAGGCAGCTCAGCGTCTGCCCACCACCGACGCCGGCGGAGACCGGCTCCTCGGAGGCAGGCAGGTAGGTGTGGGCATGTGTGCGAACAGACACTGCCACGGCGGATTAAAGTTCAAGCCTGTTCACACACTGCTTCCCTCCCTGCTCGGCGTTCTCACGAGCCGCCCAGCCAGGCGGCCCCTTCCCGGGGAAAGCCTAGGGCTCCCCTCTTTGTCATTCTCAGCGGCTCCCCACTGCCGCTCAGGCTCCAACCCATTAAAAGCATTAGCCTCCTTCCACTCTCCTCGGCGGGCTCAGAAACGCCCCAGAAAAGAGAAAAGGAGGGAACGTGGGAAGCGGGGTGTCGCGGAGGGCAGGGCGCGCAGCAGGTAGCGTACATACCCAGCGCGAGCAGGGCGAGCTGTCCAGCGGAGGTGACCATCTTACGGGCGGGCAGCAGGCGCTCCAGCCTTCTGCCCTCCCTGAGGTGCCCGCCCGAGTGGCGAAGCGGCGCCCCGGTGCGGGGGAAAAAGGCGCTGGCGAGGCAGGGCCGGCCCCCGGCGCGGGCGGGCGGAGGGAGGCAGGACCGAGCGCCGAGCGCCGAGCGCCTGGCACTCACCCCGCAGCGCTGCCGGCCGGCGGAAATAGGAAGGAGGTACCCTCACCTCTCCGCCACCCGGCTGCCAGGGCTCGGCTGACCACCCTCCCTCCCCAGGGGGGTGGCCCCCTAAGGGCACACAGGGTGGGGACTGGGGGCTGGGGGCGGGGACTCTCCACGCACCCAGCAGGGCACGGGCGGCGGGGCGGGGCGACTTGGGAGTCCCTGAGCCGGGCGGCGGGAGCCAGTCACCCTGGCCCGGGAAAAGGCAGGAAGCGGCGGACTTCAGACCCCACCCCCAGCCGCCAGCCCCTCGCGCCTGCGGGCCCCTGCGAGACGCGTGGCCGCCCGCCGCACAGCCCGAGCGTCCCGGGGAGCAGTGGCAGCTTCTAGGCTCTAGGCGGCGGAGCGGAGCCGCCCAGGCCCCTGTCACCTGCGCGGAGAACCGCTCCTGGGCCCTCTCCCAGGCTGGGGACTGGAGACGCGGTGCGGAATGGGACCTGTGAGCTTCGCTGGCCTCCTGCCAACACTTGGCTCGAGGAAAGTGCTCCCCATAATCAAAAGCAGAATTTGTTAAACTAGATTTCCCGCCTGCATCCCCATTCTCATCAATTCTGAGGGCACCTGCCGCCCAGGCAAATTAGGCACCTTGTGAAGATCAGAGAGACTTCGTACTTCTGACCTGGAGCTGATAGTGCAGTTGTGTCCCTGTGTAGGTGAACCGGGTTATGCACCACCCCCGCCCTGCCGCAGGGAGCTGAGGCCAAGAGCCTGGTAGCATGCGGTCAAGTGTGGTGTGTGGCAGAAACCACCTAGGTGGCTCGTGCAGGATTTGTGGCTTCGAGCTGGAATTTGGGAGGTGGAATAACTAAAGGAAGACATTCTGGGTGGAGAATGGACGACCCATGATGCCTTGCGGACCTTCCATAGCGGACAGTGAGTTAGTGACCAAAGAGCCCACGGACTGACTCTATTTCTGCCTCCCCTGGCTAGTGGCTCCCGGGTTGACCTGCAGTCATTAGAGAAGGGGGCTGTTGAGATGCGAAATCTCTTGCTTCTTCCTTGACTGAGGCTCAGAGTCTCAGGGTTGACTTTTGCCAGTTTATTTCATAGGAGCAGAGGGTCCTAGATTCTGAAAGGAAGTACCAGGCGGTCTCAGCATTTAGGTAGGAAGTACCAGTCTAGAAAGGGGATTCTGAAAGGGTGTACATTTGCACTGAGGGAGCATTTCCTTCGAACATTTGTCAGAGGATCCTTTTGTTCTTCAACCCTTATTAATCTGTGTTGGCCCTGAGGGTTTCATGCTAAATTCTGGAGCACATCTTTTTCTTGGTCCTCTGGGTCCACTTCCTCCAGCTTGGTCTTGCCCTGTTCCTGTGGCTTCTCTGTCTCCTCCCTAGACTATAGGAGGCAAGGAATTAGGAGATCTCCCACCTGTCTTCTGGCTTCCTCCTGGAGAGGCATGTCAAGCTCCCAGCTATATGAGAGGGAGGGCCCCTGGTTTCTGCTTCTCCATCTCTGCCCACGCACAGTCAAAGGTGGGGGAAATAGCGGCAGAATCAAGCTAGTGACCTTGTCCCCAGAAGGACAGGAAGAATCTTTTTAATCAAGTGATAATTTACCATCTTGCAAACTAAAAACTTCCTGAATCAAAGTACATCCTAACACTTGAAAGTCAATAATTTCCCTCCAAGATTTTCTGGAGCTGGTCCATATCTGCGGTTTTATAACCTTCCGTTTCATTACTGTCAAACAGGCAATCAAAGATTGGATTGGATTTTTTAAAAGAAAAATTAAATTTACACATCTGTTTTTGGTAAACTGATGAGAAACAATTTTTTTGAGAAACAATTTTTGAACATTTATTCACAGAACTAGGAATATCGTAAATCATTTTACGTATTTCATTTAATCCCCGCAACAGCCTTACAAGCTAGATCTCATCACCCTTTTACATGGCAATTAGTATAGAAATAATTTGTTAACTTACCTGCGGTTACTCAGCCAACAAGTGACACAGACTAATTTTGAGAGCAAAACAAACTGTTTTGAAGACTCATATGTTGCCTTCTCTAGTATGCTGCCTCAGTTTCCAAATTTTAAATAAGTATAATAGCTCATTGGGTTGATATGAGAATTAAATCCAAGAATTTTATTGTATGCTTAGTACAGCACTTGATATCAACCAAGGAAACTATTAAGTCTCCCTCAGTGGACATTCTTTTCCCTCCTTTCAGTTTCCTGCTATATCCTTATCATTTTTATATGTTTCTTTACTCAGGCACATGCATATGTGTGCACGGGGAAAGAATTTCACAGGTAAATCAAGAGCTATGAATTCATATCTCAGCCTTAGGGTGAGAGGAATGAGATTTAAAAGTACAGAGAACCACTTAGAGCAAAGCAATCAGTTATCCTAAAGGGTAATGTGACATATTTGTATTTTAGCAACACCAACTATGTTGCTCTCTGAGCTGAGTGAAATTTCAGCATAGCCCCTTGAAGCTATGTGGAGACTCAGGTCTGTTCCTTCTCCTACAGACACAGTACTTGTTTCATGAGGCCACTGAAGCTTCGTGTGGAGCCTTCTCTGTAGGAAAACACCTCGACTGCCTTAGCACACACAGGCTTCAGCCACCCTGGAGCTCAGGTGATCCCTTTTGTAACAGGCTAATCACAGCCTGTCCTCCCGTGCAAACAAGAGAACCATGTTATGTCCTAGGCAGAGGCCAGAAAATCTTGTCAGTTTTCCCTTTCCTTTCTTCTCCCTGCTTATTATAGAGGGTATGTTTACAGGGGCCCCTTCTTCACTGTAATCAGCCTCCCCCTCCTTCCTGATTCACTTGTGCAAGGGATCGTGGAGTCACAAGCCCAGAGCTCTCCTTGAGTGGCTCACAGTTTAGCTCAGCAGTTACCCAAGATATCAGTGAGTAAACAGCCCATGTGCTTAGGGAGGAAGCACAGCCACAGGCCCCAGCACTGAAGGAATTACAGTTCCTGTGGAGGAGCCTCAGACCCAGCACTGGAGCCAGCTGCAGGTGACACAGGACCTTCTCTTGAGCCAGAGGGGAAACACTTGGCACAGTAGTAGGGCAAAGGTCAGGTGTCATCTGTGTATGTTAAAGGGAGAAAGAGAGACGGGGTGGGGTGGGGAGCTTGATAAAAGACCCTGTAGAACTGTGTTTAGGCAGAGTGAGGAGATTTTAATATAATAAGGGATTTGGGAAAAGAAATCTAATCCAAAGTGAGGTACTGTCCAAGTATTGACTCCCTTGGAGGCCTCAACTATTACCATAGTGTATTCCTTATCTCTAGTCAAGGTAAAAGTAGGAAACCTTATGCTGAGCTCATTTTTACACAGTTTGCACCACCAGCAAAATTGACAGGGTGAGAAGCAACAGAGATGTTTGTGTTTCCTCAGGTATCTGGCGCTTTCGTTGCTAGTGTTTGTCAAAGACTGGTCTAACATTCTGTTTCACAACTTCATCCCCAGCTCTCAGATCTCCTGGAGAATGTACATTGGTGTTGTCAATATCACAATGGCTATAGAGCTTGGTTTTGAACCTTGGAGGCTGGCAGTTCTGTGGTAGTCCAAGCAATTTCATGTCCTTGTCAGGATCTCTAGGACTCCAGGTCACCAAATGGCTGCACCAGTGAAAGATTTTATCTTATATAGCCCATAAACTTCCTAGTGACCAGGGTGCAGTAGAGGTACCTAGAGGATTCAGCATAGCCAATGCCAAACCATTGCATTGAGCATTCTTGGGGGAAGAAAGACCACATATTACATTCCGTTTTCACTGTCTTTGTAACTGTCCCCTAGCAACCTCCAGCACACTGCTATACTCTTCTGAACACTGCAAAGACTGCCCCCAGAATTCTTAGGAGTTCCTGTGGGGAATTCCTATATCAAGTACCCAGAAATCCTTGGGCAAGTAAAACTAAGGAAGTTGATAGAAATAGGGTAGTTATGTTCAACAAAAGCGAAAGAGATCAGAAAAGGAACATAGAATCAAGGAAAGAGAAATAAAAGAACTATACAGCGTTGTAAAGGGGGTTTAATAATTTAGTTTTCAGTGATAATGTCAAGAAATTTTTCTTAAGCTCAGAGAAGAGAGAAGTGGAGAGAGAGAAAGGTGAGGGCAAAGGGGAGGGAGAGGGGAGGGAGGAAGGGAGAGAATGAATAGGAGACAGAGAAAGACAAAGTCAGGATTTTGTGAGAAGCTGTTTGTCTATCTCTAACATGAAGGGTTAGTGATGGAGGAGATTGGTGTACATCCCATATGTCCCCAAGTTAGGATTTTGTCTAAGAGACCATGCCAGTGTCAGGACAGACTTCCATTCTGGGACAGGCATCCCTCACTGAACTTGCCATCTTGCCTCCCTTCCAAACTTCCATTGAAGAGCCAAAGGAAAATAATGATAGAGGGAAATCTGTGCTATTGTTCAAAACTGAGAAAGGATTCCACCCACATATTAGACATTTCAAGGGATTTCTGAAAGACTTAATGCAGACGAGCCCAGTCTGAGAGAAAGGTTTGACAGCTCCCAATTCACCTCATAGACAAGAAAAGGCTCTGTGGGGAGGGAGGGAGTCCACGGAAACCTGGTGATGTTCCTGAGCTGGTTGTGACAAAGACCCCAGGCAAAAATAAGCCTCAGAAAAGTGAGATGTGGCACATCTCCATTCCCTTAAAGCATCTGAGAAGTGGCCAGGTACAGAGGTGTACACAGAACAGGGGTGCCATGAGAGAGGGGAAGCTCACATTTGGTGCTTGGCATCAAGAAAACATTGCCAAGGAGGCAATGGTGAGGGCATCTGCACAGTACCCAGCCAGCTTTATGTTTTCATACCACACAGCTTTCATCATGAAGGTGAAACTGCTCTCTTGGGAGTCTTCACAGACAACTGGCTCTTCATTGCTTCCTTTCATTGGTTTAACCCACATGGGGCCACTGCACGTCTCTTCTGCTCCAGGCATTGAGTTAGGTCCCAGAGATTCAACAAAGCACCTTCTACTTTGTGGAGCCCTCAGTCGGATAATCAGGATACCCCCCCAAAAATCATATGGACATTTGCCACATGAATGCCAAAGGCAACAAAGAAATACCC